CTACTCACCAAATTTCAGATCATTTGGATCACTACAGCTCGAGATATGTCTAAAATACTAAGTAGTGTTGCTAGTGGATATGGTGGATAGCCCTCATGCTTTTGTATGGATGAAATCTCATTTCTACCATCCGAATTTGAGCTAGTTCTCTTATAAAAGTTGTTGTAAATTGTCTTTTCCTCCCACTCACCAAATTTTAGATCATTTGGACTTCTAGAACTCCAGTTATGGGTAAAACTTTGAGTAGTATTTGGGCTGGATTGCAAGACAGATTCGGACTTCTCTTTTGTGGCCAAACTTTGAATTTGAAAATGGCAAATTTGGGTCTTTCCATACATATGAAAGTTGTAGGCCTATTTGTTACCTTTCCAGCCATATAAATTAATATGAAATCCAAAATCTAAAGCTCTAGATATGATCCGATGACTGAACAGTGTTCGAATTTGAAGTGAATCGACATCTCCTTCGTAAGCTTAGCCTTTTCTTTATCCTTTCACTTCCAATAGTTAATCACAACAATCAATCCTTTGAATTGTGAGAATACCTACATTTAAAATGAGCATTTACCATAAATTAAAGGTATCTTATATTATCAAACTTGTTATTACAAAACATGCTCTAGTTAAGGAGTTATTGATACTTCAAGTACAAAATGATGATATAAAGCCTTGATAAAAATGCACTTTTAAGTACTAATCATGGTCACTCACTCAATAATTTTCACCTTGACATAATAAACTTAACTAAACATAATAAAGAAGAGAAACATAAATAAACAAGAGGAGAACCTGATTATATAAGTATAGTAAAGGAAATGAAAGACATAAATAAGATATTAATAAAAGCAAAACTTAAGCATTACAAAAATATAAAGAAAGATAGCAAGAACATGATTTTGATCTAAAAACCAACATACCTAAATACATGGCAAATGCCTTCTTTTATAGATCAAAATTTGAAATTATTGATTTGATAACTAATTGTTAAGTGGGAGGCCGCATCTTGACTTTGTGATAATCCTTATCTTCTTGTCTGAACAACACATCATTGCTAATGTTAGAATTTGAATAGATAGTTTTGATGAAAGTTCTAAAAAATTGTCTCAGCTTTAGTCTTGATGAAAGTTCTAGGAAATTGTCTCAGCTTTAGTCTTGATGAAAGTTCTAGGAAATTATCTCACCTTTCCAACAAAAAAAATAGTATATTTGAACTTTCAGAACTCAAGATATGAGTTGAACATTGAATATATTCGAACTTCTCTTTTGATGCTAAGATTTGGACTTTCAAAAGATAGAATTAAGTCTTAGAATCTTATGAATGTTTTAGGCCTATGTCTTAGCTTTCCATTCATATAAACCAAACTGAAATTCAAGATCTACAGCTCCAGATATGATCCAATGACTGAGCAGTGTTCCAGTTTGAACTGAACCAACATCTCTTTTCTAAGTTTAGCCCTCTCTTTGACTTATTAATTTTATTAGTTAAACTCATCAATCAATCCTTTCATTTATGTGATAGACCTGTATTTAAGATGAATATTTTTCATAAATTAAAGGTGTCTTATATTTATTAAATATATTATTATAAAACTTGTTCTAATTAAGGAGTTATTGATACTTCAAATATAAAATGATGATATAAAACCTTGATAAAAATGCATATTTAAGTACTGATTATTTTCCCTCAATATGGTCTACATATCATGTTTTTAAAGGGAAAGGGAAGAGTTTTTAGCTAAATTACCAAATTTACCATTACTTAATGCCCACATGTTATTTACCCAACTCTAGCACTATCATGAGACCTTTCTAAACTCGGATTGACATAAAATTGTAACCTAAGGTAGAATGATGTGTCAAAAGGTTACATAGAAAATTTTAGTCCGATCCAACTTTCACATTTAGAATTATACGCCATAGCATAAACCTACTAGACACTATGTATTTGTTTACGTAAAAATCCAAGTTTTTGTATTGTTTTACCTACTTAAATCATCCATATTTTAAAGTAATTTATTGGGAACTTCAACCCTATTTATGATATAATTGTTTCCTAAATTTCACCCTTTTTCAGTTTAAAAAGTGTGCAATTGCACACAAGGCTTATACCGACGATTAAGATCATTCACACATAAAACCATACATTAATTTATTTAAAATTTTTAAAATACTTTTCTAAATATTTTCACCCTAAATTTATAAAAATTCTACATATTTATCACTACTTTATCAATTTACAGGGCTATTGGTTTGCATTGTACCCCTTTATATTCGTCATGTCATATTTTTCATATTCTAATGTTTGTTTAAACTAAATTTTGACTATGTGAAATTAAAATTCATTAAGATTTATCCCATAACTCTTTTTTCCTGATAAATAACTTTTATTTATTTATTATTCACATTTTTTACTTTTTATTTTTTAGTCATTTTTCCTCTTTTTTTAATAAACACAAACATTTTATTTCACATTTCAAAATCTATCATCATCCCTCTTAATGTAAATAGTCAATTCACTTGTTTAACATAATATTTACTTAACATAATATTTACTTCACTGTCCTTATAAATTTTACTTGAGTGTTTACAATTTTCATCCATTGTTCATTTCTTTTAATCCCAAGTTTCCTTTACTTATTAGGACTTTATTTCATACAACCCACCCTACTTTTATGTGAGAGTTTACACGATTAATTTTATAATAATTAATAAACCATGCACAAAGATTATATTACCCTAAAATCAAGTTCATTTATTTTTTAGAAGGACAAAAAGTCATTATTTTATAGTGGTGAGTAGTGAAATGAGTTCATGGCTACAATGTTTTTGTCTTTCAATTTAGTTTTTTGTTATTGTTATATATATATACACATATTATATATAAGAACCTCGTGGAATTAGCCTATAAGTGTTTCACTTATTTTTATTTCTAAATTTAAATCTTTGGTCATCATCTTGAAAGAACTATTAGATTTTTTTATATATAAAATAAACTGATATAAAGATATGTTTTTAAGATTGTTAAAAAAAAAAAATTAATCGCCATTTACATATAAGCTAATCTAAAAATAGCTTTGCATCCAATAAAAACACACCAAGACTATAGATTAGGTTTTTTGTCCCGTCTCATGTAAACATCAAAACATGAAACAAAGAAAGTTGTATGTCCCTATATAAGAAATGCCACCTAAATGAAAAAAAAAAAAAAGAAAGAAAAAGAAAAAGACTGTATCATCATCAATTGGAGGAGCTTTATTTATTTATTTATGAAAAATTTATTATTTAGATGGAATAGTGGGATACTAGATTATTTTTACCTGTGCTATGTTATATGTTATGGTTAAATTAAAAAGATTTTAATAAAAAAATAGATATTGCTATGTTTTCTAATAGAAAATTTTTTTAAATCATATAGGAATTAATCCAATATTACATGGTTAGCTTTGAAAATAAAAATAATAATCTAAACAATCAATAAAAATATAATTTGACTAAAAATACTTAAAATAATATTTTTTATTAAATATTGAGACGACAATATATTTAATTGATCTGAGTAACTTGAGTTAATTTATTAAATATGTGACGTAAATCATAAAATTAAGATAACTCTATAAAAAGTAAATTGAACCAAATTATGAGCTCAAATCTCTAATCAACATAGCATTAAATGATAAAATTAAAAAATAAATTGATTAATAAATAAAACAAAACAACCTGAATTATCTCAAGTTAACAAGCCAAACATGTAACTTAACTAAATAAACTATAATAACCTTAAAAAAATAAACTAAAATAAATTATAAAAACTAATTATCAATCAACCAAACATTAAAAAATAAAACAGGATAAAAATTCAATAAAAAAATGATAAAAAACTTGAGTGAACTGTGTTAATCCACTAAATTCATGACCTCACTCATGTTATCAAAATACCTTGATAAAATATAAATTAAAATAAATTATAAATCTCAATTTTAATATTAAAATATAAAATTAAAACTAAAACTAAAACAAAATAAAATCTATATTGTGATCTAGTACAAGGGAATAGTAAATTCTCTTCTTGTTTAACTTTTGTTAACTAATGTTTGCTGGTTTTTTCTTCAATGATTTAAAATGATCATAATTTAAATTTACTTTAACTAGCTTTATATAATTGAATTGCATAAACAAAAACATTTTACTTGAAGGAATCATTGTAGCTATCGCACCAAGTACTTTCTCATATCTGCGGATCTAAAACAAAGGTAGCCAATGGTTCTTCCGACGCATTTGCATTAATCATAACCAAGCCCTTAATAGTTTAACAAAACTGATTAATTAATTCTCCTTGCTTCAAAAACTATATTTTTAAGCTTCATTTTTCGTCCATTTTACGTCCCTTCTCTAAGGAAAAGGTAAAGTAGATTAAAAAAGAAAAAAATAGACGAGAAAGGAAGGTTTATATATATATATATAAACTATTAAATTGATGATGTCCAAAGAACCATTTAATTAGTTTTTTTATACTACATTTATCAATTAATTAGTTTCAATCAACTCTATGAATTAATTAAGTTAGAATTTACTCTCCATCGTTTCAGTTTCCACCATAGTTTTTAAACCCAGTCCGGTGGCTGGCCCGGTCCAAGGTCCGGATTCCAGGTTTTGACCGGGTCGAACGGGTCGGCCGGGTCAATTTCTATTTTAAAAAAAATTCAAAACAACGTCGTTTTAATAAAAAATAAATAAAAGTCAACGGGTTTTTGACCGGGTCCAAGGTCCGGGTTTCCGGGTCAACCCGCCAGGTCGGCCGGGTCATGGCTTACCTTATTTTTTCATCAACCCGGCCCGGTTCCAGCCCCGGGTTGGCCGGGTCCCGGGTCAACCCGCCGGGCCGGGTTTTAAAACTATGGTTTCCGCCTCTAAAGGGAAAAAAATTCGCGAGTCCCCCAGCTCGGACTTTCGCCACATCTGTCCCCACGAAACAATTTTAGTACTTAATCTGGGAATGGAAACAGGAGGAATGGGCACACGATCATTGATTCATGGATCTCGCAGAGAATTTCTTTGTGCAACAGTGTTTACGAATTGATATTGGAATATACATCTAATCCGATCACAACCCTAACTGGATATTTTACTTAAACGAACTTGAAGCTTCATTACTGGATCCAGAAAAAGGAGGACCTTCTAGACGTATGTAGTCATACATGAGACCCTGGAAAGGGCTGGTGCATCTGGGCTGCGTCAGGAAGATGGTATTCTCGCCTTCAACTAGCCGAGCTCCTGGAATATTCACATTATACAGCCGGTAGAGCCCATGAATCCCATGTCTAGCAATTGCGTTGTCCCTCCCTATCAATCCGCTTGTAAATAGCGGACGTTGTGCATTTGCATCATTAACACGAACCTTCGAAAAAGATACCACCAAAAAAAATATATATAAAAAAAGATATTAGCATTGTAAATTTCAAGCAAAAATGGATGCGGTCGTACTGGGCCTTTCATTCTCTCAATCCTCCGTGTGCACCGTGCAGCAAGTGAATATTCAGTATGGGAAGGGACATTACCTGCAATTCTGCTAGGGTTGCAGATGCAATTGCCACTCTCAATTTGTAGCTACTGTTCCGATCCACTTTGTCAAGTTCGAACTTGATTTGCCATGTGGTTCCTACATGTGTATCATTGTCTTTTCTCCTGCAGCTCAGAAAAGCTTGAAGATGAGACATAACTGTCATGATAATTAATCTATTGACAAGAAAACGCATCAGCTCTGAGTAAGAATATGAAAAAGCTAGGATTATAACTACCCATGTTTTTAATGCTAGTCAAGATTCATAGTCTTTACTATATTCTATATATTTCTGGTATGGGAGCATTATAACATAACCAAGGTGTTGGAGATAAGATTGAACCTGAATAGTTGTTTGCTGATAAATTACCAGACTAAATCAATTGGTCTTTTAGCATATCAATGCCGAAAGAATACATATCAGCTACTTGGTTAAGTACGATGTTTTAATGGATGGTGCTAAGTAATAAATATCAACTACCATTACAAAGTGGCTGACACTCAGAGTCAAGCAAATCCCAAGATAAAAGAACTGCACCTGACAACCTGAGCAAAGAACCAGTCTTTTCTGTAGTCACTGAGACCGACTGTGTAAACCAAATCTGTATCGGGGTACAGATCTGTATATCTGCCCCACAAACCATACTGCCGAAATCTTCCAGTATAGGAGTAATGTTAGATTCATTAAACAGGAAAATATATCAACATTCAAATCTAAATTAACATTTAAATGGATCCCAAAATACTTCAAACACCCACCAGAAAATAAGCCCTGTATGGAAGATCATCTTTTACAGGTATTACCACGTCAATGATACCTTCTTAGATTTTTTATATAGGAAATCCAAGGAGAGCTAACCTGTCAGGATGATTGGCATATAGATTATTCATAAACTTTGGATCAGGACCTGGAATGTAGAACTCAGCAGCGGAACGGTCAGGGATGCCTATTTCCCAGAGTGTGGGCCCATCTCTTGGAGGCTCATACACAAGATCACCCATATCCATATCACAACCTACGTTGCATGATATTTTAACTCTGTAACATCTATCATTGAAAAACAGTACTCAAAAGAGATCATTAGAGTTTGAGGAAGAAAACCAGAAATTATGTTCACGATAGCATCCCATCTGTAATCTCCAAGAAATCCAGGGACCCATGCATAAAGATTGTAGTCCCCAGTGCGTATGTTTTTAATAGAGAAATAGCCATTCTCATCTGCTCTGGTCCAGAATTGGTAGTCCTAACAACAAGGAAGGTTATGATGAGTTCAGCAGTGTTTAGCTGTGACCCTTGACCTAATATGAAGTAAAAAGATAAGATTGTGATAAGTTCACGTTACTTAGATCTGACCCCAAAACTTGATAAGAGATAACAGGCAAGATTATGACAAGTCAAAAGCAGCATTTAGATGCAACCCAAAAGGTAACTTCTCTACACAGACAAGATCAATTTATCTTTTGGAATGTTCTAGGAGCTTGTAACACCATGACTTATCTCTCACAAGGATTTCCTTAGCCCCCCAACAAAAGCTGCTATTACAAGCATTTTCAAATAATATGCATTTATCTAACTATTTAACATAAGCAAGAAAAAAGTACGGAGGTCAATACCATTCTAATGCTGTTCTCTGAGTAAAATCATTTTTTGCATGTATAATACTAGTATTCACAATAGACACGCATCCTCTATTGATGTGCTGCAGTTGGCCCTATGAGAAAAGGCAGCTGAAGAAAAGGAAACTTTGCACCACCAATTTGCCTTTTGTATTCAGAATGATTCTAAACTGCAAAGCCCACCACATTTAATTGTATCTATGCATGCTAAATATGATTGGGCTTATTAAATTGAATTTCAACTGGGATCCAAAATGAAGCACTGAAATGACGACTGTTGCAATCATTTTAGAATAGCAAGGAAAATCTACGAGTTTCTGTACAATGAAGTAAACCCCTTATTGAGTTCTGTTTCGCTAGCACATTCCCCCTTAAGTAATAGCTAAAAGACCACAAAACTAATTCTCAAATAAAATGTTTAAACCATTGTAGCTAAGTGACCTTGGATGATTAAAAAGCATAACAAGATATTGTATTTTTAGGACGATAAAGAATTAAATAGTCTTGCATAGAACATAGAAGATAATTAAATCACCTTGCATTCTGTTTGCCATGATCCAACATCTCCTGGTGGGGCCAACCCCACATAAGCACCATTTGCTAGTATATAGTCATCACTTGTATTCCTAGGCAACATAATAACAAAAAAATTAATCCCATTAATCTACCCAGTAAATCAAACAACAGAAGACAAAGAAGAATAATTTTTTGTTATAAAATTTTTTGGAAGTTTGTTTGCATTGAATAATAAGTCCATGATTCACTGGTTTCATTTGACTAAAACAAAAGTAAAATCAATCATGTAAATCACTGGTGACTTCCTAATATCAAACCACATCCATCTCACCAGGATACTCTTTAAGAAAGTAATAATAGAAATAACATGAAGATAAATATGGATGCTAAATCCTTGTCTCGCACACATGAATGTACTAAGGCCACAATCATTTCTGCTTTTTATTAATTTCTTATTTACAAGATGGACTATTATTTTCCTACTTGTATGGCTACCTGTCTTTGACTAGTAGTCTTCCACAAACATTCCCTCGTTGTTCTGACTTTTGGAAATCCTCAGAAGCAGGGAAGCTGTATGGCCAGCTTTGGACTTCAGCCATCATCTGTATATAAACTTAGCTCAACGTCTGCCCAACTGTCCAATCAATTTACAGAAACATGAACTAGTAGGTTTGGTTTAAAACCTGCACTTTAGCATCTTCCCAAAGAAAGAGAGGGTCCTCTCCATTTGATGCAGAATTAAGATAGATAAAAACAGGGCCAAAAACTTTCTTCCATGGTTCACCAGGGCTTATACTCAGTACCAGCTCTTTTCCCGCATAATGTGAACTATGAAACATCTAATTATGTCATTTGAGTAAAAAGTTAATGGAGTTGAACATAAAACCAATAATAGCAATAATGACACAGACATGCCAGCATCCATCAACATGTCGAAACATTTCTACAAAACCATAGTCTAAGATCAATCACTTACAGCAAGAGTGGTGGGGCCAACATGAGAAGTCAGGTTCTGTTTCAGGGGCCCAGCAGTTCGGAATTCATCACTTGGTGTGATTTGCCAGAACCCCACTGGAGGCTTGAAGCATATCCACCCATGGACTTGATTATCTTTGTTTTCACATGAATATTGGTACTTGTCATCCACCTAAAATTAAGACCAACTCAGAGAACAACAAGAAGAAAAAATTACTTATAATTTACTTGTAAAGCACCTCTCCTGCGAGCTCTGGCAGTTTGGGATTAACAAGCATCACAGCTTCTGGATAAGCCAGGGCTTGACATCTTCTTGGCAAGCGATCATCTGGTAGGGGCATCAATCTTTGCCTGTTATCTGCTATGGCCATGTACTGAAACCTATCATCCACTCCAAAAGAACCTCATGGTGACTTCTTTGCATGATCATATACCAATGAAGACAATTTCAAACACTCCTTTATTGATTATATGAGGAATGATGTCTTCTTCCTTCTTTTTTTTCATGATACTAGTGAAATTTAAATTAGAACCTACAAAGTCCTAAACTTAGCAAATAGATAATATAAATTCATTGGTGATACTAGATAATATATATTCACATTCATAAAACAATAAGTAGAAATATCTTTGTAACTAATCATTTAACTATATGTAGCAGTGACCAAACCAGAGGAACTTCAAGTTTTTGTCAACATGTACTGAATTATTCACTCCACAACAACAAACAAATCTCAGGCAATCTATTAGGAAATTGACAAAGATACTAAGAATATGTTTACTTGTCTTTCCGGAGTTTAAAAGTAATCCTTGTTTCGCCAATATCAAAACCAGGCCATTCCTGCAAGTGCTCGTAAATGGCATATGAGTAGAAGCCTGAGGAACCACGTAGCAATATAAACCTGGAGGAGAATTAAAATACTTTTCATTATATTCCAACAGCATTTATACACTTATGCATGCATTCATACATATAAAAATTGAACAGGGACCTTTTATCTATATTCAAGGGAATGTATTTGCCTTCAAGTGAGGAATCCCACATTCTTGTAAATGAGAGCTCAACCTGATCATCATTTTCCACTACGACCCTGAATCTTGTTCCACTAATCCTGCATAGCAACCAGTTCATTCGCACAAACATATGAATTAGAGCCAGCATTATTTTTTTCTTACAACAGTGAAGAAGTCCACAAATAAAATTTAGCACAGGCACAATAGTCCGTTTTGAGAATAATGAAGAAGCAAGAAAAAGAGGTTAACCACAAAACTCTGTATCTTTTTAACAATTCAAAAGCTTATACAAACATGCGTGTGCATGTGCGCGCAAACACACAAGAAAGATATATATATAAATTTACACCTCTCTCTCTCTCTCTCTCTCACTCTAGATATATATATATATATATATATATATATATAGAGAGAGAGAGAGAGAGAGAGATGCATGAATAAATTTTTTAAAGCAATCGCATATATATATATATATTCATTTCAAGACATGTCAGCATAGCTTCACCATACTCACTATTTAAATAAAATAAAATAAAAAATGCAACCTGTTAAGTAATGACTGTTCTCTGACAGTCAGGTTACATGTTACAATAAAGAAAAACTCCAGTTTCAATTTTGGCTTCATAACCAAGCAAAGACTTCATTGGTTGAAAACATGCAAGGAAAAAGAAAAAAGGGGCATACACATCAAATATTCCCTTGCCTCCAGGTGGATTCCAGTGAAGATCCCAGTACCTGCAATTACGAATAAAAACAAGTCAGTTCCTAGTCACGAGTGACAGGAATCTTTCATCAATATCAGCATGAATCAGTTTCAAAAGAAAAGGAATCAATGAATGGCTAAAAATCATTTTCAACTGTGAACCTGCATTGTTCAATTCACTATCCAAAAATCAAACATCGATGCTATGGTTGCAAATATATGAGTCCCTGACTCAATTACGAATTAGCCACTGCTGTTTAGGTCCATATAAACAGAATCATTTGGAAGATGGACATACCACAAGTTACCTGTGGCCTGCCCGTTAGACTAGAAAAACTTATCAGAAAATAAAGTAAGGGTGTTTGAGCTCTATTTCTATCCGGCATACAAAGAAATGTGTTAAGACAGTAAAAAGAGAAGAAATATGTGTTAAGACAGTAAAAAGAAAAGAATACTATGTACATAAACAGCAGGTGTAACACCATTTACCCTCTATTTGTTTCACGATTGAGAACTTCAAGCAAATTGTCGATGCCATCATATCGTATCCCGGTAACAATTCCAGCTGGTTTCGATAAGGTAACTTGTACTATGCCATTATCCATCACCACCTGAAGAAAGCATGCATCTTTCTAATCAAATACAAGATAATAAAAACAACCTAAAACTAATAACACTTGAGCTTAAATCTCAACTTACGAATAATAAAAACTCTAAACTATCCACCACATTAAATAAAAAAACATTAAACAAAACCATTGCATAATTACATGGTGATCTTGAATATACAATCGCACTGCCTGAAATGGCATGGTGGGACCACCCTTGTTAACTCTTGAAGCTCTTTGACCAAGATCCAAATCTCCACCTGAGTTCCATATTTATTTACAAGGATAAATATCATGGATTAATCAACCTAATCACTCCATTCCAGTGTGGTTGACTGGATAGTTGATTTGTTAGAAATCAAAATCAAGTTTTCATTTTATTTCTTTAATCAAAATCAAGCATCGAATTAAGAAGATAATTTTAATAAAAAATATTTTTGTAAGAGTTACCTCCAGGATTTTGACAAGAGGAGGAAGCGCCGTTGTTGTGACGCGTGCATCCGCCAAAGTCACGGAGAGAGCCAGCAAAACTGTGCAATCTTTTCCACATTTAGGCACACAAAAGGCAAGTCAACGATCGGCGGTGGTGAATTTGGTGGTAATAATTAATGGATGGCGGCAGTGGCAGGGGTGGAATGTTAAAGGAGGAATTGGATTGTTGTTCCATGATCTAATATCAAAAGTACCCTTTCCCCAGTTAACCGTAATTGGTTGGTGATGATTTGGCAAGTGTCGCGTCGCTAGCCTATGCAATGGCAATGGCAATGGCAATGGTAGAGGAGGGAAGAGAAAAAGGGATTATTTGGCAAGCGTCTCCTCCACTCTTTTTATTTTATACTTATTTGTGTACCCAAAAGAAATTATTTCTCTTAAAATTTCAAGATTTCATAAACAATATTGACTCCCAATTTTAGTAAATTCGGGAAAATCATATCCATAAAAGGTAATGTGGTAAATGGTTGAGAAAAGAAGGGATATGAATGCCCACCACAGCCTCTCATTCTAATCCTTACATGCTATTGCTTGGTTCAATTATCCAGAAACAAGCCACATAATTAACTGGTCTTCTACAATGAATAAATAAATAAATAAAAATCACATTTTCACATATTAACGTACGCAAGTATAATGCTGGGATCTGGAGAAGGAACGAGGGGAGGGGAGGGGCTGTGTGATACATGCACATCTAGAGTCATATATTAATCATCACTCTCAATGTTTTGCTAATTTTTATATTTTCATAAATGCCATCTCAGATCATGTTAGCCGTAATAAATCCACCATGCTTTATACATATATCAAAAGCATTTGTGTGCAACACCCGATGTGATGGATATCTTCGATGAGAAGATTAACTCGCAACACTTTAACCAGAAAATCAAGAGAGGCAATATAATAGCATTTTCATTCAAAATTTGCGAGCTCGAGGTATAATATATCTACATTAGTACGTGGCGTGATAATGCATCTAACCATGATGATTATATCATCAAACAATCCTTAATAAAATAGATATTATTTCATAAAGTTGAAAATCAAGTTAAATATAATTTTAATTCAAAAATAGTTCTGTATCTAGAAATCAAAGATAATAAAAAAAAACTTGAACTTTTAAATAATTTTCTATGAAATAAACCTTAAGCATGTGAATGACATCACAAAGTTAATTGACTATCAATAAATTAATGTATGATTTTTATATCTACAAAGAAATGTTGTTTTGCCACAAATAAACAAAAGAAAAATTCACATTTATTCTCTCATTTGCTGTTGAGATTTCAGCTAAAAAAATATAATATAGTCTTCTCTAACCAAGCCTCATAGATCGTTTTTGGAATGCAAACTAATAAATCTAATCTAGTAATCAACTAAAATAAATTCAATAATAAAATAAACTCCTAAACAATGTCTAATGAGCTATAACAAACTCAAATTAAAAATAATTATTTAAAATTTAAAAAGTATATATAATAAAAAAAATTAAAACAAAGTTTTCATGCTAAAATTCATCCTTGTAGTCTGAATCTTTAATTTTCGCACATTTTCAGTCCTGACTTTAAACAAGTTATTCTCTTTTATCTTGATGAATTATTGATCCTATCATGAATAAATAGAAAGCTTGAGATGTCTAGTCTCTAGCTCAGCTTGAATCATAGAGAAATTCTACATATATCTCTAGATATGTTCCAAATCATAAACAAAGGTCTAATCTAGCGGATTTAACAAAATTTGTCTGGTAACTTTGACCCTCTAAAATAATATTTTTTCAAACCACATTTGACCTTCAAATTTACCAAAATATAGTTTTATATTTCTAGTATCTCCTTATAAAATTTCAACTCATTCCAATATACAATTTGAGAGATACATGTAATCTCACGAAACTTGTCAGCGGATATTTTAAGGCTAAATTCAGAACTGACTTAGTTTGTATCAAAACTTATGATTATATTTTTCTCATATTCTTATGTATCTATTATAAATGTGATGAAGTTATGTTCAATTCCCACAAACCTCGTAAAATTAAAAGAAAATTAGGTATATTAGATTATGCTAAAACATGTAGTAGAAACCAATGATGAAATTTCTAAAATATTGTATGTCCTCACCTGATGCACGACTAGATCAATTACTAGTAATGGAAACTCAAAGAATTCATAAGTGATAATTTTTTAGGGCTAGTCTCACTTTTATAGACAACTAGAATTTCACGTTTCATTGACTCACTATATAATGAACAGGCTTCCTGCTAAATAAAAATAGGTCAATAATATAGAAAGCATCAATAAATATATTAAGGTTCATATGAAACAAGCATAGACAAACAATCAATCCTTTTAAAAAAAGAAACAATGAAAAGCTATAAAATAAGGTATCTTAGTCTTCAGCACCCATAAATAATAATAGAAAATTTCCTATTGGGTATATAAGTAATATTTTATTGTAAATTGAATATTTTTGCACTTATTTAGCCATCTAAATATCTAACACAGAGTTATGATATCAACTGATGTAAACAGAAACATTATAAAAAAATAATAAGAATAAGCAACACAAAATTCTACCAAGTAGAGTCACATGACAAAATCTAATTAGAAATTTTAATATTGAATATTTCACCAAAAGAAATTCTAATAAAAAATTTATATTAGAACTCTTATAGATTCCTTATATACTAGTAAGAAATTCTAAATAAAACTGGAAAAATAAAAGAGTTCTAAACAAAATAGAAAAAAAAATCCTAAATTATCTAAAGAATATTGCAAATCGTGATCGGTACTTTTTTAGCCTTATTTGAAGGCCTTCTCATACTCAAATAACTGCAAACTTTTAGCCCTATAAAGAACAATGCTTATAAAATCTCCTAATAAAATCTCAGCCCAATCTAAGAGTTAGAACAAACATTATATACACTAATATAAGAATGCGTGTTTAGAAAAAAATATATCTTATATTAATTTTTTTAAGTTAGAAAGAACTCATCCTCAAGTTCTAGTCAATACCTACACTGCTATTATTATTTACCATTAAAAGTGATGTTAATACTCTTACTTTCTATTAACCTCTTTATACTAGTACTCAAATAAAATGAGTTAGAAATCAATTCTCATCATACTCTCAATTTTTACATAATCATTATAAGTCATTAATGGCTTGTTCCACACCTTAGTATTTCTCACATCATTCTGATTCTTCACTCTTCTTCTTTATTCCTTCTTCTTCTTTTTTTATAAACTAGGATAAAAACAATATAGTTTGCCTTTGCTCTCAACAACTACCTATCTTTTGGGCGCCAATACTATACATTTCCCCCACATATTACATTATCTGTCATACACTACTTTCTAGTTATAATATCATGGTCTACCTAGCTATAGATGGCACACATCCTTGAATATCGTCTCAAACAAAATACTATTAAAATATCTTTTGTCCCTGTAGAAAACAAAACTTCATCCATATAGAACTTAAGGTGTTTTTCTATCTTGAGCTGGAATTTTTTTATTGCCTCAACTAACATCATCATCTCATAACTGTTATTATCAGTGATCAAATTATATATATTATCCTTAATGGTATAAGTTGAACAAAAAAGGCTAGTACATTGCCAATCTTCGAAAAAAGGCTAGTACATTACCAATCTTCCTTTGAATCACCTTTAGAAGCAAGCAAGCTCTTCTAAATGGCTAAAGTAACATTATTATCACCTTACAAAAACCTCCTCATGAGATCACTTATCTTTTCATTTCATTATTCTACCAATAGATTTTTACTTGGATGACTATCTAATTTATGATACTTAGAAATTCAATACCCCAACTCACTATATTTGAAACATCAAAATTTGAAACTAGATTAAGAACTCGAACACTAACTTGTTGACGTAATGAAAAACAAAGATAAAACTAGAGTTCTCAAGCCCTATAGAGAAATCTAGAGAAAGCTCTTTGGTATTTTTATTAAATTTGAATAATAATCTTGATCTCCATAAAATAAACTGAACATTCCTATTTATATTGGTACTAAAATCCTTCATAGAAAATGATTTCTAATTAAAACTTACCTAATTAATAAATCCATCTAGCATATGATTACTAAATACTAAAATAATGATTAAATTAAAAGTCCTAAGATAAGTAGGAAATAAATAATTAAAATATAAAATTAACTAAGAAAATATTTAAAATAGAAAAACAATAAATAATTAAAATATAAAATTAACTACAAAAATATTTAAAATAGAAAAAAAATAACATCATGCCTTAATTTAGTCTATAAATTCATAAAAAGCTCTCTTTGCACAAGAAAACCATGACCACGTCTCTTTCTTAAAATAAATTTAAATTGCCTATGCTTGCTAGCTACATGATTATTTTTTTATAGCTGCTTCTTCTAGTTTCCTCCTAACTTCTTGATGCACAACTTGCATTTGTCCAACCAAATTTTCTGTTAACTTGCTAAACCTGATATTTTTAGGTAATGAATGTAGATTAAGTATATTGTTTAAATGGTTGTTTAGTTTGATCTTTTCATCTCTTATTTAAGCATTTGAATCTCTATTTAGTCTATTCTTACAAACAAAGCCACTTTTTCTTTTATTTTTTTATAAAAACATTATAATTTTAAAGAATCTAAAATCTGGTTATCACAAACAGTTCTCATTTCTACCTGAGTAGTGGAAGTTTGTGATGGGGAGATCAGCACTCATACACCATTTAGCTAATGATTAACACTTGTCCTCAGTTTTAGTTAAAAGAATGGAAGATTAGGATATGTTATTTTATCTATCAACCTTGATTATGGGCTCGTTAATTTTACAATTTCCTAATATGATTAACCTTATTGGTTGTCTCATGTTTATTCATGTGGGGACATCTAATTGAAAGCTTAGCTCAAGACATGCAATCCCAAATCTTAAGTTAAGAACGTGTAATCCCAAATCCTAGGCAATGTGCTTTGTGTTTAATTAGATAGCTCACCAATTAATAAGGCTTTCTTAACTTGCATTAGATTCTTAATAATCATTAAAGTTTTGGCTAATAACAAAATAAAAAAGAGATTCTAGTGTTGCAAGAAGAGATCCAAGTCATGCATGAGTTTGGATGGTGGTCTAAAGCTGTTTACCATTAGACTAAAGGCATGCAAAGAGAATCCTCCTCGATTGGCTAATGGATTATGTCGCCTTTATGTATAAGTGTCAGTCAATCAAATATTGACAGCTACTTCCTAGACTTCCATACATTTGGAGGATTATAGCAAGCCAATGCAAAATTTATAGGTTCCATCAACTTCATTTATTTGCTTATCATGACTCTTGAGAATTGTGTGTTGTGCAA